ACCTTAGTAAATTAATATGTGGATACAGAATTGTATTTCAAGATAAATGCCATCTACGTGTGTCAACCACTGCAATATTTTAAAATTTAAAACTGCCATTACAAAAGGATATAATTTTAACATCCTTCTAGCATGAATTACATTTCAGAGCTAGAGTATAAGGATAACTATTAGTCAGCAACCTTCTGAGCAGACTGACTAAACACAACCCTTGGCAAAACCAGTGGGCTAGCCAAAGCAAACGGGAGGGGAGAGAAGTCGGAGGGAAGGCATATATCATCCAAGAAGGAATGGTAGTGTTGGGGGTTTATTTTTATCTTTGCTGCTTGTTTCAAGCTGATAGTTATCTTTACTTCCCAGGGACTAAGCAGGGGAGGGGAGGGCACCCTGGGGGAAGCATTTTCAGTAGGGTTGAAATGGTCTACTAATTTCAAATACTGTATAATTGTGTTTTTGTTTTTTTTTTAACTCAATCTTCTTTCTCCTCAGATTCCAAAAAGTAAAATAAATAATCAACAACTATCTTTGGTTTGCTAAGTATGGAGATTAAAAAAAGAAAAATCCAACTCTCTGCTTTTTAGAGTTAATGACTAGACAATAGTTTTATGGCACTATTCAAGTCTTTAATGTTACCAGTTAAATTCTGATTTAATCTTCAGAAGGTCACTGTGCCTTTCGGAAGGCACACATTCAGAACTTGTTTGGCTAGCTACTCCTTGCTCATTCTTGGAGAAGTATGTGTGACTCAGTGTTTCACAGGAGACACAGCATGGCACATATAGAAAACAATTTCTATTTTTAGTCCTTAAAAATTATTTCTAAAAATTATTTATTTACGTATAACTTCTATTTTCACAAGCCTCTGGAATTGCTGAGTTTGAAAGTAAGCATTTAAATTACAACAAAGTTTAGAACATTTTTTTAACAACTACTGAGTTAATACTGGGGTCTAGAATCTCATATTCCATGACATAGTGAACATTATTTCTCACTGTCCTGAGCAATGCTTCTCAGGCCCCGACGAGTCCCCGAGGCCATAGGTGAGTCTACTCTGTAAGGCCACCATATGCTAGCTGACTGGCCATTATTTAATGTTGAAACATCACCGTTTCAGATTTTATGTCAATTATGATACACTAGATACGTATGCTTCTGTGCACATGTGTTTGCACGCACACATAGTTCTTAACGAGGCCTTTTGGAATTTTGCATACCTATTGCCAACATTTCACATTTACTATAACTTCTACACATATCAGCCTTATTCCTGATAGTCCTGTTTGTACACAAGTTCTGAGTGGAGGATTTTGGATAAATCCTGTTATTCTTTCTTGAGTATTATCAGCCTGTATGTGTTTGCCAGACTCTGACTTCTCTGAATGAAGCCCAAGTCATGGCCATCCTTGCATCTTTTTTTTTTTTTGCAGTTTTTGGCCAGGTCTGGGTTTGAACCCACCTCTGGCAGCCTTACTCCTTACTCCTTTGAGCCACAAGTGCTGCCCCATCCTTGCATCTTTTTTGCACTAACTACTTAACTAAGTACTTGGCACCAGTAAGGGCTGAAAGAACGTGCAATGAACCAATCAACTAACCTGTTAGTACACTCACTGGTGGCACCTGTTCATGGTTTATTGTTTAGGATAATTACGTTGGTTGACAACTACACAATTAACAACCGCCATTACATGAAAACACTGAGCGAACTTTGCTTTCAGCATCTCTTCTTTTAAAGCTGCATGTACAGTCAGAAGAATTCTTACCTAGAGATATAAAGACCAAGGCTGTAGCAACAGCTCTGCCTCTATCAATTGGGTGCCTTCAGACAAGACGCTTTCAACAAGCATAAAAATATAGCTTAGTTTAAAAAAATTCACTAGAATATACAACTCTGGAAATTGTTCACCTGCCACATTTTCAGTAACTGGTTAAAATAAACAGACAGCACTATCCTGAGTTTTTGAAAGCCCACTTGACAACAGTGATGCCACTTTTGGAAAATGGGTACGGCATACCCTATGAATGTTGTAACTTTAACACCTCAATGCCACAGCAGGTGTGGATCTTATTAGCTACCTTTTCTGTTCAAATATATTAGTGTGCAGATATTTATAATCCTGGTAAAACTTTAGTGATAAACACAGTAGGAGTTCAGATAAGAATTGTGAGATTCAGACTCAAAGTATTTTGGGATGATTTTTTCAGCTTCTGATAATTATGAGTTTAGAAATCAGTTCCACTTCAGATACATCAATGCATGACACTGTGGTGATAGTCAAGGTACATTTTCAATCACCTTTGATGTAAAAAGACAAAATTTCTCATTAAGAAAAGGTACCATTTTTGTGGTAAATCTAAATTTAAACCTTTCAATTTAAAGTCCTAAATATATTTCACATAGGAAAACTCTGTAAGCATACTCCTTTGGAGAGTTTTTAAAGTAATCAGCACAGGCAATGTTAAATTATCCTGGCTCTGGGGGAAAAAACAAAAAAACAAACAAACAGAGGAGCACTGTAGAGAAGACCCTCACATTTGCGGTTCTGTGTATTCCCTGTGGGCTGTGCCAACCCACTCTCTCCCCTGTAACGACTCTTTGTTTTTACTAAGTCCCAAAGGGCTGGGGAGCGAGCGAGAGGGAAGGGGGGAGGGGCGGATGGAATGCAGCTGTGGACGCTAAAACAATGCTGAGGCCAGATATTTTGTTCCCAATTAGAATAATAAAAAGAGTAGGGGGTTGAGGAGACAGACCCAGAGTAAGTAATCTCCGTCTAAAGCACCTCTCCCCCTCATCCAATCACCATTCATTTGGGTTAAAAAGCTTCCCTGCTCAAATTCAAACACTCAGTAAGATTTACCCTATCAGTCATTTATATCTGGATTATGTCTGCAGGTGAACTGTACCGGGGCAAGTCGAGCAGGCAAAGATGAGCTGGGGAGCTTGGACTCTTGGAGACAGGAAAAACAGCCACAATCCTGACTTGCTTCAATCAACAATTTGAAGAGGCGCAAGTCAGAAAGGCAGCCCAAGGTCCTAGAGACGAATGACCTGCTAGTGGTGGCTAGCTAGAGGTGGCTAGTCCAGTGAAAACCACAGGGTCAGAGTGGAGAGCCAGGAAACCTGCACACACTAGTCCCCATCACTCAGTCTTTCAGTTTAACTTGGTGCCATATAAGAAAATACCCTTTGCTTGGATTTCCCTGGCCTTGATGTCTCAATGGGAGACAGGATTAAGAGAAGCAGGAGCTGCAAAACAAGGTGACAATGCTGTAAATCCTAGTGAGATAGAAACAGCTCAGACCTTACCCCAGCCCCCTCCTCCCAGTTAACACTGCAGTGAAAACCCACCCAGCCTTCCAGAGCTCACAGACTCAGCCCCTGCCTCTGGAACATCCTTTTGGATATTATTGGTGCCATTAAAATTGGGAGAGAAACTCCAGAGGCCTTAAACAAACAATTGAACTAACTCCTTAAAAATAGAATGAGAATGTGCTAACATCTACCTAAAAAGCTATACAACAAAATTCAGAAGAGCACTTATTCTAATTAGGATCTCATTCACGAACACTCAGTTATTGAGGAGGGTTAAAAAGACTTCATTGTAAAGTTGTCATGTAGAAGCAAAGCTTTGACATCTACACAAATGTCTCCTTCAAGTCAGCATTACACAACACATTTAGAAGTACTCTTAGTGCGTGTTGAATGATGTAATTAACCTCAGTCTTGAAATGTTTTCAAGTTATACAGTTTAGAAAGATTGTATTTATTTTACATTGATATTCGTGCACTGTGACATAACTAAACAAAAATTCACAGGAATGCAGATTTATACTAATCATGAATATAATTCTAAATGTGTGATTATTATACACTGTATTCCTATATCAAAATATTGCATGTACTGTAATTGCAACTATTATGGAAATGCACCTATTATGTAGTCATAATTAAAAATAAACATTGTTATGAAAAAATGCTAAAAATTAATGTATTTTAAATTTAAAATGTTAAATATGACATTAAAAATATATTAAAATAAGCATAATATAGTGATTATGGTATGAATGTGTAATTTGGTGCTTTAAGAATATTTGGTAAATACTCTTTTTAATAAAAAGAATATAGGGTGGCGCCCGTGGCTCAAAGGAGCAGGGCACCGACCCCATATGCCGGAGGTGGTGGATTCAAATCCAGCCCCGGCCAAAAACTGCCAAAAAAACCCAGAATATAATACTTTTCCCTCAACCTGCCTTTTCTCTACGGCCCTAAAATCCACTTACAGATATTTTCATATTTACATACTACAGTCAGTATATAAGAACAAATATAGACATGCATATTAATTTAAGTAAATAAACAAAATAGAATGATTGCGTCTACTCTTCAATATTAAATATTAATAGTAATAATTTAAAAATAATACTGATACAACTCCTGCAAAATTTCTCTATTATAAACATAAAATTCATAGATCTATTTTATTAGGAGCTCTCATTTATTAATGGTTTTAAATGCAGCAAAAAATAGACATAGAATGCTTTTCTTCTGTGCATTAGAAAAACTCAGTTTCTATTTATACATTTCATTTCCTAATACATACAATTAAAAAACTACACAAACAGCAAAGCTTTGTACTAGTAAAAATAATCACAATCATAACTTGCTTGAAATCAATAATTCTGTATAGGAGTTTAGTTGTAAATAAAACATATCCACACAATACTATGATGTATGCTATACTTCAATAAAAAGATTCAAACACTCAATTATACATGATTTGGGAAAAGACCACACTCAATATCAGTAACTACATCTGAACTATTTTTTAAATAGAGATAATTCAAGCATCTTAATCAAAAATGCCAGAAATTTTCAGTCACAAAATTCACAAAATATAAATGTCTGGTGGTATCAAGAGGCTCAGGTGAATTTTTTAAATTTAAAAAATTTAATAGCATGTAAGAATATTAGATTTTCTTTCCAAATCAATAAGAGTACTCACCCCTTGGAGTCCTTGGAACTGAATTGAAGGTCGAAAAGGAATTAAATTCTATTAAAAGAAATGAGAAACAAACAGGTAAATCTTAATTACTATGACAGAGAACTAAATGTTTAAACTTTTAAATCTTTGTACTGGTAGTGCCATAGTGTATGAAACTCCCTTTTCATACTATTTTGGGGTGGCATTATATTAAGATGCCTTAGCTGAACAACATCCTACTGTTTACATTTTCTCTGAACCACACAACCAAAAGGTATTTGTTGGCAGTGTAGTTAATCATGTATTTGAAACAGAGTGACATGTTAGTAAAAATGATTACTATACTAATTCAATTGTACACTTATAAAAGCATACTGTTGCTTTGTATCCTGGCATATTTTTATTAGGGGTGGGGAGAGAGAAGAGATAATTGGAGGAACTTCGCACTCTAACAGGATGCTAGAAATATAAAATTAAAGTACTTGAGACCGAGCTGTGGCTTTCCATTTTCTCACATTTTACCAGACATTTGTTTTTAGATGATGGTCAAACAAGTTGCCAATTTTCTCATAAAATTCTTACTAGGAGAAAAAAGTTTTAGAATAATTTTTTTTGTTTGTTTTATTATAAGCTTTGTCTTTTCATAACTTTGATATGAAGTTCTGCATTTGGAAGAAAAGCTATAATTGTAAATATCAGCCATAGTCTCTGGTATGATTTCCTGTATTCACAGTCACCGGTTTGTCTATGTGAATGCTTTTATAAATTGCTAACAGAAATCCATGAGGAAATAGATTTTGGTAATGTTTAATAGCGAAACATCAGCCTTTAACTATTCTTCACACTATCATATCTGAACCCAGTGTACAAAAATAAACAGTACTTTCTGGTCTCACCTCTATCCCAAATAAAAAAAGGCACTCATGTCCCTTCCCTCAGCCACAGTTTCCCTCAGCCTATTACTTCCAATTACTGCTCCAAACTCCAGATAAAAAAGTTTACTAATGAGGATTATAAAAACCTAAGGAGAAATGAGGAAAGGATAAGTACTTCTTTAAAGGATAGACTACCTGAATATGAAATCAAGTGGTAGCATTAATAATATTATTTATAAAAATGAATTTAAAAAGTTCTTCCTGCAGATGGTACTACAACAGATACTGTTATCTCTTTCCATTTATTTACCTTTGGGATTACACCAGCACAATCAAGTACTCCTGGGTAACAAATGCTGAGCTTGGTGTGGGTGAAGTGGTGTTTTTTAAAAAAGGAAAAATTAAAAGGTGGTGTTTGAAATTTTAATACCTAATTTTTAGTAGTGTTTCATTCTACAGATTAACTTCTACCCCCAAACTACTTTCCTTGGCTAAACTTCTTTTTCTTGAAGTAATGAAAGCCTGCTCACAGAAACCTGGAAAGGCCCACTTGGTGTGAAAGGAGAGTGGCCCTCCAAGCTAGGCAACGCAGGTTCAGGTTCCAGCTTTCGTAATATTTCCATCCACAGCCCTGCCCCTTGAATCTCCTTTCAGATCATAAACACTGAACATCTCTTTGGAGACTTGTTATGATTCCCTCCTTGACTCTAGGGCTGTCCTCAACTCATCACTAAAATTTGAAATTCTCTCTCCATCAAGTTCATCAATTCTTACTGTCAAATAAATGAAACTTTTTCTTGGTTTTCACGTTGCTGACTGAAAATTTCTGGACATTTTTCATCTACTGATATTACACTGTACTTAGAGGCACAAGTGCTCCTAGCTTTTTGATTTCATTTCAAAAGCTAGTGCCCCTCCGTGCCTCCTTTTAGCTGGAGTTCATCCAGAGGCTCACGGCACCCTTGGTATGCTAACTTTGAATCTCCTTTCCATTCCTCAAGCAGCATCACTCCACAGCCAGCTACTCACTACTGGTTACAGGACATTCTGCACAAGAAACTCAATAACTGGCAAACGCTAAACTATCCCCCTTCAACATCCTTGGCTAAATTGGCACCTCTTTCCTACTGTTCTGGCAAGGGCACATCTATCTTTTTGGTTCTCTAGGCTCACTACCTTAGAATTAATTTATAGTCTCTTTTCTCTCCTCATCTCACCAATTACATGTCCCTAGAACCACAGAATTCTAAAGCCAGAAGAAGAATATAGAGATTATAATATAGTTGGTGCCCACCTCCCACAGGCCCTGTTCCCATTAATAGCTAAGCTGGGACCAGAACCCAGGACTCAATTCTAATCTTCCTATTTTGCCATGGTGATAAAAACCTGAATGTTTTTCTCCTACTATCCTGTGTTCCACATCCATCTGCCACAGGATATCTGAGAGTCTGGGGGCCTAATCCCTTAAGCCACGGAGTTTACATTTTAGTTGGGGAAATCTGAGAATGAGTAAATTTTAGACAAAGTACTACTGGGATATACAGTAAGAACTCTTAAAAACGAGAGAAGAGTGTAGGTTAGAACAGATGTCAGAAAAGCCAAAGGGTTCATGGAAAAGGTCCTTGGGTAACAGTTTAGAAAAGGTAAAAAAAAAAAAAAAAAAAAA